CCTCGTGTGTCCCTGCTCCTGGTAACAGTGCTTTGGGTGGCTTCTTAGGCCAGGGCTCTGGCTAACGAGTAATTCTGTGTCCTGCCCTAGGGACAAAGAAGCCAGAAGTTTGACATAACCCATAGGAATGAGAGGAGCATGCTGCCCCAACACAGTCATTAGGCCTTGCTGCTTCCAGGCGGATCATTCACAAACCATCTTACCTTAAAATCAGCCTCCTCCTACTTCAAAAGTGCTTTTCCAGGCGTTTTCCAGAACTTGCTGCCTTCAGTCGACTCCTCCATTTCCCGCAGGCTCTGTCCTGAGGAGTGCCCCAAGCGATCACTTTCTCTTATACACAGACTTAATGCGACTGGAGTCAGGGAGGCTCTGGGACTCCTGCACACACAACTCTCCCACAAGAATCCTCTCCCTTAATCCTCCTGGCGTCTCCTGCATCCCCTGCATTGCAGGGGGCGATCACCCACATGCACCTCAAACCTGGCTCACGGAAATGCAGGGACTTGCTCCAGCTCACCCAGCCAGCCTGGATAGTAGCGTCCCCCTGAAAACCTGGGCGCTTTCTCCTACCTGCCACCCGCCATGCCATTTAAACCCACCCTCCCAAATCAGCTATGAAAATCTGAGATAAAGTACACGGACGAGCATTAAACATAAAGCACTAAGTTCTTTTTTTTTTTTTAAGGCTAATGCAAAGCAGCCACTCTCTGTTTCATACACGGGCATTCCAACGCTTGGAGGCTCTCGTGGTATAGAAACTTGCAGCCTGGCTGCGGGGCAACAATTCCTCCCACACAAACAAACCAGAGATCAGGACCTACGGAGGGAAAAGAGGCCAATGCATTGAACCTCTAAAATTCCCAATTCCCTTCCCTCTTCAGAACCATGTGGAACAGGATTACAGCCAATCTGCTATTTATTTTACTTTATTATTATTATTATTATTTTGCACACACAGGGTACATGACGCTTTGATATTGAATGTATTCAAGAAGATACCTTTGCTCTTTTGCAGTCTGACTCATCCATCTCTAGAACACCCTTCTGTGGGTCCCTCAAAGTGGAGGGACCCTTTCCCTTCTCCGTTCCCATTTTGCTTAGCACCTGTGTATTTCTACATGCAGCCTGACTGGGTATGTCCTTGTCCCCCTCCCCAGGGCGCTGTGATCTCTGGGACAGCAAGGAACAAGGACCGAGTATTCTTTCCTCTCTGTATCTCAGCATTTTGCATGGTGCTCCTGGAAGGTAATAAGTTCCCAGTAAATGTTGGCTCAACTGAAATCAAAACCCAACCACCACCAATAACAAGACCAAATAAACAATAAAACCCCAGATTTTACAGTTCATTGACTTCCCCTCTGAGCCTCAATATTTTTGCATTAAAGCAAAAGGGTTGACCAAAGCGATTTCTAAGGTCATGTTCAGCTTGTAGATGGGAAGCAAAACAGGCGCTGGTGAGATTACTGGGGTTCTTTCTGCAATATGCACCAATTTGGGAGCCCCCACAAATGGCACCCTGGCTCTGTCAGATTTCAGACCTCAGAGTCTGAAACTTCTGAGACTCCTTTCAAAAATCTAGTGTTGAGAACTGCTAGAAAATGACTTTGCCAAGGGGGTGTGGGCTCTGAATGGTCCTGGCCATTCTTTGAGAAGGGAGATGCCCTTGGCATGGGGTAGTAGACAGTCCAGCTGCCCCAAGCCAGGGCTGTCTGTGATACCAGGAAGGTTTTGAGGGTGATGCTGGCTGAAGCAAACATAAATGAGGTGGTGGCTGTCTTCACAAAGAGAAGCTTTTAATGGACCCACAGTGACGGGCAGCAGAACTCTAAAGCTTCGTGTTTTGTTTTGTTTTGTTTTGTTTTGTTTTGTTTTTTTGAGACGGAGTCTCGCTCTGTTGCCCAGGCTGGAGTGCCATGGCACGATCTCGGCTCACTGCAATCTCCACCTCCCGGGTTCAAACGATTCTCCTGCCTTAGCCTCCTGAGTAGCTGGGACTACAGGCACCCCCCACTATGCCTGGCTAATTTTTGTATTTTTAGTAGAGGCAGGGTTTCATCATGTTGGCCAGCTGGTCTCAAACTTCTGATCTCAAATGATCCATCCACCTCGGCCTCTCAAAGTGCTGGGATTACAGGCATGAGCCAGTGCGCCCAGCCAAGCCTCTCATTTTGAGAGTGAAACTAAGACCCAGACCCGAGTTGCAAAGTAACTCAGCGCTGCCACTGGAACTCAAATGCAGGCTCTCACGGGGCCCCAGTCTGGGCTCCTGTGACCAGATTAGAGCAGAAGAGAGCTCTCAGCTCCTCAGGTGTGCCCGCAGGGATGCTGAAGTTTCCACACAGGCTACACAGCTGAACGAAGCTGCATGTAAGTCTTATTCTAGAATTCTTTGTGACCGGGCCAGCTCTTCCATCGGCCTGTGGAGTGTGTGCACACAGGCATGCAGAACTCACTGGAAAGCTTTACAAGATGACTGGCGGATTTTATTTTTTGCTTTCCTGGTTGCTTTTTGTGATGTAGGAGGGGCCTAGAGTGAGGGTTAATGTTTAGATCCCTGGCCAAAGCTCTACCCAAATATAAACCCTTTGAGTCAGCAACCTTCTACACAGGAACTGACTCAAGCAAGGTTAACTGATCAGAAGGCTCAGAGTCACACATGGGAGAGGGCTCCTCCTTGGGCAATGTCAACTGCCTGCCTTTGGGTGGTGTCCTGGCTTGGGGGCTGCTTGGTGGGGAGGGGAGACAGAGATCTACCTCAGCCCCAAAGACCCAGGACCTAGAAGGACTCCTTCCTGTCAAGCTCACAGACGACTTCATCCCCATAAGAAGGGCTTCCAGATCAGTGACAGCCAATTCTGTGAGTGCCACCAGGGAAGTGGGGCAGCACAGCCCTGTCCACAGTCATCAGGAAGGCTGCTCAGAAGGCAGTTTCCGCCTGCTGCTGCAGAGCTTCGAGGAACAGACTCCATACCCCCTAAGAAACCCTCTGCCATCACTTCTAGCAACACTTCCTGTTTTTCTCTCTCCTGGGTGGGGTGCTGTGGCCTCCCAGCCAGGGAGGTAGGCGACGAAGGCCCTGCTCAAGCCCAGGCCCTGGCCTTGCCCAATCGCACCCGAAACAGCAAATGCCGACCCAGAAAAATGCAGGGAAAGCAAATTTCACGGTTTGTGGGATTTTGAAAAGGCAGGAGAAGGAGCACTCTATTCATTCTTTATTTAGCAAAAAGCGTATGATGGAACTTTTTCCCCTAGACCTGAAGTCAAGGTATACACATACACACATATAGAGTATGAACTACCTATATATACACACATTCACTTAATTACATGTATTATAGCCACACGCTGTCTATTCTGCAGAACGTATTTTGGAGAATGTATTATTGGCCTCATTTTGTAGATATGGAAACTGAGACGCCGAGAGGTTAAGTCTGGTGACCAAAGTAAGAGAGACTGGAGACCAGAAGAGACCGCATGCTGTACCCAAACATTTGCAGAGGCGGGGGGACACGGAGTGGTAAACTCTGTCAGTCATTTCAGCCAACCATGGGATTTCAGAAAACAGCCGGCAGGGGTCCTAATGTTTGGGGCAGGAAGGGGAGGTGGGGGAAGGCACTGTGAGGGACTCCAGCACTGGGCGCCCCTTCCCCACCACAGAGACAAGCGGCAGTTTCCATAGCAGCCGGCAGGGGGCAGTGCACCTTGCCTTTTCGAAGCCTCAGGGCGCTTGGGCAGCGCCCGGGAAAGAAAACCAGGAGGCTCCGCCCGCAGCTTCTAGGAACAGGCAAGTTGAGCCCCGCACGTAGTAGGTGCTCCAGGCACGTCTAGAAGCCCAAAGGGCTTGACAGATACATTTGAACTCCATTTTAGAGACTGGAAGGGAAGAAGGGGGCGTCCTGGCTCCTGCCAGCACCTTCCACCTTGGGGCCTTGTCAGTGAACACAGTGTTAGCACCTACGACGTGCCAGGCGCCCTGGCTACTACTGGAAAACCAGGCTCCCCTCTCACCCTGTTTTCCTCGTTGGCGAGTCGGCCTCGCCTCCTCCTCCTATCTCTTCCTCTCACCACACACACCCAGCCGCAGAGCGGGGGTGGGCGCTCGCTGTCTCCCTGGAGAACCAGCTCGTCGCAAACTTGCGGGGCTTGGGGACCCGCGAGGGGGAGAAGTCGGGAGAGGCCAGGGGTGCCCGGAAACAATCACGAGAAAGCCGGGCGAATGCCTGATGCAGCGACGCGGCGAGCCAGTCACTGCCCCCAGGGTCACGGCTGTCTCCCTCTGCGGGACTCGCCCGGCCCACGGGACGCAGTGACCTACCCAACCCCCACCTCCTTGCGCGCTTCTGGGCGCGCACGTGTCCCCAGCGGAACGCACCACCGAGCCCCGCTCGTGGTACTGCGGCGAGGACCCTCGCGTAGGAGGGAAGAGCGAGTCGGGGCTCCAGACGACGAGCAGAGCCAGAGGATACCCACACGCTTCCTGGGAGACCTGGCTGCAAGGCCAGGCTAAGGCGCGCTCCGGAGTCTCTGTGCTAAGCCGGGGCGCAAGCTCAACCCCCATCTCAAGTTCAGCCGCGCTTCCTCCCGCAAGGTCACGCTTAAACACTCGCGCAGAGAAAGGAGGAGCGGAAAGTTGCGCCACTGTCCCCATTTCAAACTAACTGTACCCTGACCAGGGCGCCTCGCCCCAGTGTCACCGCTGTCCGTCCCCGCGCGCTCCCAGAAGGGGTGGCCCTGCCCCCACGCAGATCACATACACGACAGACACAGACAAGTTGCTAACTTTTGTCATATTATTTCTCGGGAGCTGCGGCGCCTCAGGGGGTTGGGGCGGATTCGGAGTTTCGAGTTTGCCACTAACACTACTTGGGCCGTGCTCCCCTTGGCCCACCGGCGTCCCCCACTGTCCGCCACGCCGCGTTCAGCTCTCTTGTCCCGGGTGCCAACTTCACCCCCAGATCCGGAGCAGTGTGCGCTGAAGGCGTCCCCGGGGCGCTACCCACCTCCCAGGTCTTCGCCTGCTCGCAGCGGATTGGGGGACTCGATCCGGATACTGTCCCACGGCTGCTCCTCCAGAACACTGGCGGCCTCCGCGGTGACCCAGCCTGTGACCCCAAATCCGCTCGAGAGCGCCTGAGCCCGGCCACCCAGCGAGATCTCCTCCCACGGGCGGCCCCAGCGGGGGAGATTCCAGCCCGGTGCCGGGTGCAATGTCACTGGGGTTGCTTTCGGGAATCGCTGCCCGGGACTTGGCGTAGGTTCCCCGCAGAGCTCCAGGCAGCTCCTCCAGTGTCGGCCAAAGACCCCTAAGCCCGAACCTCAACCCCGACCTTCTTCCTCTCCCAAAGCCCCGGGTGGTCGCCGCGGCTAAGGAAGGAGTCTCACTATGAATCCTAGGGTCTTCAGTCCCAGCTCCGCAGTCACACCCTCCTAGTCCCCTCCCCATCCCTTCAGTTCCCGGGTCCAGACAATCAACCCTCCACTCCGAGAATCCACAGGAAACTGCCCGAGCCCCAACTCCGGCGGACGCAGCCCCCGCGCACCCCGAGCAGGGTTCGCCTCCGCGCGCGCACTCACCACGGCTGGAGACACGCTGGAGTTTCCGGGATTTGGGCATGAGGGGGTTCGGAGGAGAATAAAGGGGTGTGGGTGTCCCAGACACTCGCCCCCTTCCCAGCTCACATCGTCTCTTCCTTCTCTCTCCGCTCCTCTTCTTCCTCCTCCTCCTCCTCCCTCCGGTCTAGGGCTCTTTGTCTTTGCAAAGTGTCGAAACTGTCTGGCATAGTGGGTTCCGCCGGCGGAGGCTGGAGCCGGGGAAGCGAGGAGGCGGGGTGAGGGTGGGAGAGGGCTCGGGAACACCTTCCCCCGGGTGTAACGGGAGTGAAAGGCGGGGCGACCAAGGAGGGGCCGCCTTTCCAGGCCGGCCGGGGCCGGGAGCCAGGGCGCTCCAGAGCCCAGTCAGCGCCTCCCCTGCGCGTGGCCCTCCCCTTCCTCCGCCCAGTGCCCGCCCCTCCCGACCCGGCGCCTCCGTTCGGCCCCGCCCACCCCCCCCACCACCCCGCCCGGCTCGGCTTTCCCTTAGCTCCGGGCTTCCTGCAAGCCGAATTTAGCTCTGCCAAGCCACGTGGACCGCAGCGGGCTCGGCAGAGGCCGAGCCTGGGAGACGCCGGAGGCGGCGGCGGCGGCGCGGGGACCTGATCGGCGCCCCGAGAGGAGCCCCCCGCTCCCCGACGCCGCCCTCAAGCTGGCGGGGCTAAGGAAGAGCGCCCGGGCGGGCCGGGAGCCACTGGGGTCCGTTTCAGGAAGAAGACAGGCACGCACCGAGAGGATGGCACTGCCCAGAAGAATTCGAGTCGGGGGCACGGTGGGGAGAAGGGGCCGATCCCCTGCTGGCGACCGGGCAGAGCCACCCATTTCCTCTAAGGGCGCGGGACTCGAGGTGGGATTTAGGGAGGAGGAAGGGAGGAGCGTGGGCTGGAGGACTTTTGCGGCCAGAACCTCGTTCAGAGCCACAGAGCCGGGCGCTGCGGCCGGCCCTGGTCCCGGCCCCGACCTGCCACCGCTTTTTCCTTCCAGATGCGGAGGCTGCGGCTGGGGCTTGGGGTTTGCGGATTAAGCTTGCAGTTATTTAGCCCTCCCTTTTTTACAGGGAAGCGGGGGCGGTGGAGACTTATTTTGCTGAATGGCAGAGTGCAGGGCTTTGATGCTAAATGCTGTACACAAGTCATGTAAATCTCGTTTTACGGTTCTTAGCCGCTTACTGAGACTACCTCTTTCGCAACTTTTCGGAGGAATGTTAGAGGAAAGAGGCACAGTTGGCACAGTTTGGCTTTAGGGTCATTGTATCCTTCCAGCGCCCCTTGCTCCAGCTGGAGAGATATCAGCCTTTTGCAGTGGAAGGGGAGAGTCCCTCGGCCTTTGTTTCATCAGAGGGCTGCTGTAGTACAGGGATTCAGGCCAGGGCCCGCATGGCCAGACTTCTTGGTTCAAATCCTGCACTGCCACTCAACGGATGTGTGAGCTTGGGCTGGTGACTGAACCTTCCAGCCTAGGTGGCTCTGTGCCTCGGTGTCTTCATCTGTGAGAACCGACCTAAGAAGTGTCTGTCTGATAAAGCTGTTGTGATCAGTTAGTGAATTCGTGCACATAGAACCTTTGGAACTGTCTTTGACATGTAGTAAGTCAACTGTGTAGATGGTGGGTTTCTCCAGTGCCAGGTCCCAGCCCATAGCAGGAAGATGACCTGCCCTAGAGGATGGGGGCTAGGGTGTTTGGGAAGACTTCAGGGACTTGGGAGAGAAAAGGAGAAATATTCAGGGATGAGAAAAGTAGAAGAGAAACCAGCTTTTAAAAGGAGGAGGAGAGAGAATGAGAAAAATAACTACCAGAAAGGAAAGGAAAAGATGAATAGCCTTTTAGGAGATTCTGGACCTGCTCTGAGACCTCTTGCGTGATGCCCTTGGTTTTTGATAGAATTCTAGAGAAGGGGTGAACGCTTTTGTCTGCCTGGACACATCCTGTGGGCTTTTCTCTTTCTGAAACTCGGGTCAAGGTGTTCACTGCATCTACAAACTGCTTGTGTGCATGGGAGGAGGAGAGCAGAGAGTTCTACTTGCATCAGCTACTGTCCCCTCCAGCAGCAGCGTCTTCCAGCAAGGAAGAGCTTCTAACATGCACCAGACTTTTAGCTTTGGCTGGAAATATCATCTGGGCCAATAAACAGTTTTTGGATGAAATAACAAAAGTGTTGTTTATTGTATAGATCAAATAATGTATGGGAACATATTTGAAAAATAGAAAATGCTATACTCATATTAGACTACACTAGTATATCCTAGTAGATTCTATGGAAAGAGGATCAGATTTGGCAAGTAAGGAGCCCCAGGTCATCCAGCTGTTTCACTTTGCAGCCAAAAACCAAAAGCAGCTCAGTTTTAGCTGAGTTCTTACTGTACGTATTATATGTGCAATACTGGCAGTGCAGTAGTTTTGTTTATACCAGCATCACCACAAGCACGTGAGTAATGCATTGAGCTGATGTTCTGGTCACTAGGCACAGGAGTTTTTCAGCTACATTAGTGTATTGTGAGACCACTGTCTTTTATGCATGTGGTCCATCATTGACCGAAATGTCATCCAATGCATGACTATATATATGAATAGTGTAGATTGTATGGATTCTGCCAAATAGTTCTGCTAACTCAAATGCCCACCAGCATTCTCAGGGTTGGAGGGAGGCTTCAGGACCATGTCTTGGAAGTTCTCCTGGATGACTCTATAGTGAGATGGAAATTCCTTATTAATTGACATTATGGTGAAACACACATAAATCACCACCTTATTTGAATAAAAGGTTGTACATCAGATGCATCTTTAGCCGATCTCTGAAGGGTTAACCTGGGCAAGGCCTTTTCTGAAAGCCCCACTTTCTTTCTGTTATGTTTCTTCCCAGGTAACAGGGACAGCCTCTCCCTCTCCTTTTTTTTTTCCTGAGTTGTGACATTCCATGCAAGTAGCACTCTTAACACCCCCTTTTAAGACCCCTTCCAGGGGTTGTATGTCAGAAGTGTGTGCATGCATTTCTCTTTGTCACCCTGAGTGTATCTCCCATCACATCGTGCCAGAGAACAAGGAGTCACAGTCATTACTGGGAGTGTCTGCACAGCGGGTCCCTGGGGAGCCCTGACATTGATTTACTGCATGCTGCCACCTCCTACCTTTTTGGAGCACCAGCAAAGCTCTCAGTAATGATGGTTAAGGAAATTGATTTCATCCTTTCCCTACCCCCCTTTCTTGGCACAGCAGAGTGGAAAGATCCTAATGGGTTCTGATCCCATTCGGGTGATTGTGCAGAAAAGAAAAGGGCTGCCTCACTTGTGAGAGATGAGTTCAGAGGTGCTGGGCACAGCACATGGTGTTTTGTGTTTCAGACAGTGTTTTCCTTAGGGCTCTTGGGACTGTGAGGAACTCACTCAAGTTTCCTTAGAAAAAAGAGTTTTAATGTAAAGATGTGCCGAATGAAGCTGAAAACAAGCTGGAAGGAGAGAGAGCCCATCTCTGTGTCTCTGTCTCCCTCCTGGCCCCACCACTGCCCGCCCTCCCCCTCTCTGCTCTGTTCTCTCTCTGCCCACAGGCTTTCTCTGTTAAATCCTGGGGTCTGTTCTAGAGTTTTCTGCATGTTTATGGCCCCAGCCTTTCTGCATCCTGGCAATTGTGGAAACAATCTTTTCAGCTTCACTTCCCACTCTGGTTCCACCAGCTGTTTTAGTTTTTCCAGGAGAGGAATCTAACTGACAGGCCTCATCGACAGAGTCATGAATCACCAATCCAACACTGAATGGACTGCCCAGGCAGCCTGAGCCCACCTCATGAATGACCATGCAGAAGGACAGTCCTCCAGGAGATGTTGCATTAGAGGGAATGTAGGAGACATGGTCCTGACTCTGAGAATCTTGGCAGACATTTGAGTTAGCAAAACTATTTGGCAGAACCCAGCTACATTTTTCACATGTACAGTTGTGCATTGCATAATGAGGTTTTGGTCAACAAAGGAATGCGCATATGACGGTGGTCCCCTGTGATGGCACTGATAAATTCCTGTCACCTAGTGGTGTAGCTGGCACAACATCAGCTCATCGCATTACTCATGTGTTTGTGGTGATGGTGGTATAAAAAAACTTACTGCACCGCCAGTGTGGCGAGCACAATATGTACAGTACATAATACTTGATAATGATAATAAACAGCTATGTTACAGGCTTATATATTTACTGTACTATACTTTCAATCATTTTAGAGTGTGCTTCTTCTGCTTATAAAAACCAAGAGTTTACTGTAAAACAGTATTCTGTGTCATACCGGCAGTAGCCTTATTCATCTCATTTTTTTCCTGATTGCATCATTTTCTCTTGTGCTTGATTTAATCTCATGCTGTTTTGTTCCTCATGGTCCCTAAGCATACAGAATCCATAGCTAATGTTGCCAAAGAGAAGCCACATTGAGTGATTGTATTAGTCCATTGTCACACTGCTAAGAAGGACATGATTGACACTGGGTAGTTTACAAAGGAAAGAGGTTTAATAGACTTAGAGTTCAGCATGACTTGGGAGGCCTCAGGAAACTTACAATCACCACTGATGGGGAAGCAAACACATCCTTCTTCACAAGGCAGCAGGAGAGAAAAGAATGAGTGCCCGGTGAAGGGAGAAGCCCCTTATAAAACCAGATCTCATGAGAACTCACTATCATGAGAACAGGACGGAGGAAACTGCCCCTATGATTCAATTATCTCCACCTTGTCCTTCCCGTGACACATGGGGATTATGGGAACTAGCAATTCAAGATGAGATTTGGGTGGGGACACAACCAAACCATATCAGTGATTGAGCTGGAAATGAAATTAAAAGTGATTAAAGACCACGGAGGTGGAAAATTGGTGATGGTTATTGCTCGCCAGGCAGGTAGGTCGCATTCCATTGTAGCTACAATCTTGGAGAAAAAGAACAAAGTGACAAAAGTTGAAACTATCTGCTTCATTGAAGGCAATGGGACTATCAACAATTTAAGAAGGGCCTATACTAGATATAGAGACATTTCCTATGACCCAGATTGAAGATT